GTCTTCGAAGCCCTCGATGGCTTGCCGACGTTCCAGCAGATCCTTGACATAGCTGTTCTGGTGCAACTCGAGACCACCTTCCAAAGCTCGGATCTCAAATCCGTTGAACTTCACCTCTCCGGCCTCGGACACCCACTCTGGTGAGGAGCACTTCCACTGCTCCCGAAACATTTGGCTGACTGTGCGGGCTAAGGCGGCAATCGCTGCTATGAGGAGGTCATCTACGTACACAATAATGATGCCCTCAGCGAGGTCGCTTTCATTCCCGCCTTCCTCGCCGTTGGTCTCCGGGGCCAGCAACAAGATGTACCACAGGGACTCATCGGCAGAGCTTTGCCGAAAACAAACTATCCTGCCTTTGAACTTGCCCCGCATGGACCGCATTGTAGTGTCCCTGTAAGCGCTCCAGGATTTCGGAGAGGTCCGCAGGCCATACATCGCGCGGTCTACCCGCCAGTATTTCTCACTGCAGATAGAGGCGTCCAGGAACACCTTTGGCACCTTCACTATGGTGGGGCGGCTCTCTCGGTACAGGAGTGGAGCCAACAAGAAAGCCGTGGTGATATCCAGGGCTCCGAGATCCCAGGCTCGTCGGGCGCACACCCGCAGACAGCAGCGCACTAGCACGCCGTCAGCCCCAGCAGCGAACTTCTCTGCCTTGGAGTAGGAGTCCGAGATATAGTTCCCGCAAACCACTGCTCTCGTCTTGAGACGACCCGTGAACGCTTTCCGACTATGGACCGTCTTGCCGGGGACCAAGTCATATTCCCGGCCCTCCCTGTCCCAAGCATCAAGCTCCTCCTGAGTGAAAGGCCGCACCGCCAGATTGTCAATGGTCAGGCTCTGGTACTCTGAAGTCATGCTGGGAACCCACTTGGCCAGCTCCGCTCGAACCACGTCCAACGGCACGTCTTGGTGTGAAGGGGCACATCCTCGACATCCTCCGCCGCATCCACTTTACGGATNNTTCGGATCACCTCCACCGACTCCAGGGCCTCTTCAAGCTGCTTCATCTGCAGGTTGAGTCGTCGTAGCCGTCTAGCTGTGCCATAGTCCTCTCCGGCATCCACCTCCAAGGCCAACGCCGCTCTCTCCTCGTTGTCCATGGCCAGCAGATAAACCCGCAGACTTTCGAGGCCCTCCACTGCAGCTTGATCACAAACCCTTAGCGGCTCGTCAGCAGCAACCATGCGCCACTCTACCAGGCCGCTCCCTTGAAGGTCAGCACTCGGTGTCGCACCAACTTCTTGCAGGATGGCGACCTCGGAGCCCACCTGATAGCCAGAAAGACCATCGTTCTCCAAGGTCCATTCCGGCTCCCGCAGTCCATTGCCTTCTGGGCCATCTTGGTCTCCCCCGGGACCAAGGGATCGAAGTGCTCGAAGACAATTTCCATCAGAGCTATCTCGGTTGCTCTCTCCATCCCTATCCTGCTCGAAGCTCTCGTCCATCCCTTCCGCAAAGTCCCCGATGTAGAACTGCTGAGGAGGACTTCTGCATACACAAAGCGACG